TTTATCTGTGACTCGAGAGGACGCCGAGCAGATCCGGCAAAGTTAGAAAAACTCCTAAACTGGTCGTCGCCGTTACATAGCCCCACCGAGGTCCGGCAGTTTCTGGGAGTGGTCGGTTACTGGCGTATATTCATACGGGGGTATGCGGAGAAGGCTAAGCCACTGAGGTTACTCCTTCGAAAGACTGAGAACTTCTATTGGAATTCTTCGCAGGAACTTGCTATGCAAGAACTTAAAGACGAATTTAAGGAAGGAGGACGCGTGTTGGGTGTGCCATTCTTTGACGATGAGACCGAGAGACCCTTCATGGTATCCACGGATGCTGGACCATGTTCAGTAGGTGGTTTGCTGTCTCAGAAGGACGCTGGAGGGAAGAGTAGGACACTTAATACTGCTGAGCGTAACTACAGTCAATTTAAGAAAGAAGTGTTAGCTGTTCTCCGGTGTCTAGACACGTTCAGACACTATATCTATGAGCGACGGTTCATCTTGAGAATAGACCCCACCGCGGTTGCCTCTGTCCTCCAGAAGGACTTTAGTCTGACGGACCCGACCATCGCCCAATGGTTAATACGGATTCGGCTATACGATTACACGGTCGAGAGAATATCTGGTACTAAAAATGCTGTGGCAGATGGACTTTCACGTATCCCTCTCGAACGTCCGATAGTAGCTGGGGCTCTGACAATGGCAGATCTGAGACGCGCAGAGAGATTTCTAGTTAATCTTTACGAGGGCAAGTACCGAATGATCGGACTACACCTGACGGGAGAGGAGAGTCAAGATTCAGATATCCGGAGGCAAGCAGCCCAGTACTGCCTTAGAGCGGGCCACCTTTTCCGAAGGCCAGTAGGGTCGGGAATGCCCTTGCGAGTAGTCTGTGATCCTGAGGAGAGACAGACGATAGTTGCGGAACTTCACGAYGGGGWAGTCGGAGRACACAAGGGAGTTAAAGGAACCTACGAAAAGATACGCCGGTTGTACTGGTGGGATGGACAGTATAAGGACGTTGAGAGGTACMGTATGACATGCGAAGAGTGCCAGAARAGAGCTCTTGTGAAATACAAAGAGCCACTTYATCCATCCTATCCGACCAGACCAGGAGAGAAAGTACACATCGATCTAGTGAAAATGCCGAGAGGGGTAGGCAATATGAACTACGTCGTGAACATACGAGACGATTTCACTGGGTTCGTGGACGGTAGACCTATGAGGAGTAAGGCGGCAAAGGAAGTAAAGAACTTTGTCCTAKAATACATATCTAGGTATRGTTGTGTCARCAAGATAGTGATGGACAGAGGRGCGGAATTCCTAGCCGACGAGGTCCARAGCGTGTTTAGSAGAGCCGGTGCGAGAGTTTCGATAGCCACCRCCTATCACCCACAGTCGAACTCCCCAGTAGAGAGGGGACACCAGACTCTGATAGCGTCACTGTCCAAGTGGTGCAAGGGTAAGGACAGTGATTGGCCACGATATTTTCGATACGCGATATGGGCGGACAACGTCACGGTCCGGGCTAGTACCGGATACCCACCGTACACCTTGTGGTTTGGACGACATTGTCCGCTTCCCATAGAATTTCACGTCCACAGCTGGACAACCATCGACTGGGCAGAGGAGATGTCCAGAGAGGAACTCTTAGCAGCCCGAACGAGACAGATAGCCTACGGGTTGGAAGATAACCTCATGACCGCAGCTGATCGTCTGGCGGCAGAAAGGGACAAGGGTAAAGAGAGATGGGATAAGAACGTGCGAATCAGGAAAGAGAGGGTAAGCGTAGGAGATATGGTTCTTCTCTACGATGCAGCGCTGGAAAGGACCTGGACCGGAAAGCTTGCCAATAGATGGATGGGACCTTAAAGAGTGGTTGAGGCACTTGACTGGGGTGCATATATGATTGCAGAACTAGACGGATCTAAGTGGAAGGACCCAGTGGCGGGGGCTAGGTTAAAGCTGTTTAGGCCCAGGCCCACGCCCGCTTTATCGCTAACCAGCCGAAAGGGAAAGGGAAAGCCATGGTAGAGGATGAAGCCCCCTTGAGGCAATTCGAGGCAGGGGAGAGTTCCAAGGAAAGGAAAAAAATAGAGAAGAGAAAAGTCAAAGGGTTAGCTTTAAGAAGAAAGAAGAGATGGTTATTCGTGCTCAAGCGAGCTAGACGGAGAGTTCGGGTTAGACGTACTGTCGGGTCGACACCCTTCTCGGGGCAAAGGCAGAAGAAAAAGAGGATCGTGTCGGGGCCAAAAACCAGAAGAAACAGGAGAGTCAAGAAGCATCTTCTTAGCCCCAGGACTCATAACAAACTGAAACATAAAACAGTTGAACGCCGACGTAGGCGACCCTTACGGGCCATCCTCCTGAAGCTCATCCGCTTTGTCTGACATTAGTTGCTAGGGCTCGACGGGGGCGTCGAGAAGTGGTCCGCGCTAACTGTCAGGCGGCCACRAGCAGTGCGCCGCCTGAAATCTACGGTTTCGGGGACTTAGGTGCGAAGACGAGTCTGAGTTTTGACGGTACTCTGGTTAGACCAGGTAGCGGAAATTAGGGGAGCTCACGGCGCCCTTGATTTTGGGCGCGCTGAACCTTACGGGTAACCTTCAAAGATGGCAAGATGGGTGGTCGCGCTCGGCACATCAACGGATCGTCTTTTCCGGCCGTTCAAAGGGGTAAATCCGGATTGGCCTGCCGCGGAGAGGTATCGCGGGAACTGACCTCGCAGCCACCTTTTTGGCACCATACGACCAGGTTTGTCTATTTTAGTACCATAATTAAGATGGGGAAGAGGGATTACGACCAGTAGGGGAGAAGGGAAAAACATAACATCCCTTAATTTTTTTATTTTTCACGGTATTTAGTTCGAGGGGGAATACCCTTGTTATTTTATGTTCCCGGCAATAAAATTAAAAACATAGGAAAAAGATTAAAAATTGTAAAAGAGAAAAGAAACAAAAGAAATTCGGCCATTTATTTAAACTTTCTCGGAATTTTATTTTGGGGATCTTACGGTTAATTTACTATTTTCCATTAATAGAATTAAGGGAAAGGAAGAATGATAAAAAATGATGAAAGGGACGGGAACTCATGATTATTAGGAGGTTGGCCTAATTTCGCCTCGATTATCCGCCGTTAGCTCTGACCCCGGATTTTAACAGTGTTCAATGCTGCCGATGGCTGAGGTCCCCTGCGTCGCTTTCGCTGGTTTGCTTGATTACTAACACTACCGTTGTTGGGACGTTCTGAGAGCGGGAGACGCATGGGCAGGTGCTACCTTGGGTCGACCATGGTGTTTGGTTCGGTACGGATATGAGGCTTGTTACRGAGTGGCTACGTCCTGCGGTGTCTGACRTGCTTCAGGTACGGTATGGGCTTGGGGACACAGGACCGGGGCCACTATGACAGTTATTCCAGGTTTGGGACCTTGGCGGCAGTTTGTTTTCAGGTCCGKAGACGTTGCGGCGTCCTATATCAGGTTCGGGACCTCCGTGGTGATTTATTCTCAGGTCCGRGRGCACTGTGACGATCTTTTTCGGGTTCGGGACCTCTGTGGTCATTTACCTTCAGGTCWRGAGCCACTATAACGATGTATTTCAGGTTYGGGATCCTARTGGTGATTTATTTYCAGGCTYGRCGGTGATTTTTTTCGGCTCCGGCACCGCTGCGGCAGACTATTATTCGGATTCGGCRCCCTCACGGTGGCATGTGTCAGGTTYGGTGCCATTGAGAMAATTTATTGGGGACAATGTGGCGGCTTATTTCAGGTACGCCGCCGCCACGGCGGCTTATTTMARGTTCTGCGGCTTCGGGATGATTTATTTTCAAGTSTGGAGACYGCCGCGGTGGTCTGTCTCAGGCCCGGAACCTGGACGGCAGGTTATTCCAGGTTCGGTGCTATCACAGGTAATTAACTCAGGCCCGRCACCATCACTGCGGCCATCTGTACCCGGTTTGGTACCACGACGCCCAGTTGTTGACCCGAGGACGGTGCTCACGTACYACCCGTAAYGARCCTGTGCTGGGCCTGGTACCSACGGTCTCGGCAGTACAAGCAAATGTGGAATGAATATAGGSAGGAACAGAGGAGAGATGAGGGACAGCATGCAAGGTGTACCTGGCCCACAACATAGGAGSATYCSGGTAGGTCAACRGGGAGGGGAGCAGCATGCAAGGCGTCCCCCGCCCACGTAGCAGGCACAGCGGGAGTGAGAGACTGCGRGAGAGAGGGAGAGWRAGAGASAGGGGGAYTGCACAGCTGGTYGGAGTGACCAAGGCGACCGTTGTCACAGCAGGGGCGATGACCAGAGGGACAGCAGCGCACGGACTGTGACCGCAGGGAACGCAGCGYACGAGTCCGTGCTCGTTCATGGGGCGCTGGTGCTGACACGGTGGTTACARTAGATGATGATGACGTCAACAGTCWAAMGCGCTRATAATCGAGCATCGGCAGCTACACGTAAGTTGGCAATAAGGACCTATTGTATCTGCAACTCCTATCCACTCACCTGCCCCGCTATCCCACACTTGCAGGCTGGGYCCGTAGAGAGGGGAGGACAGTGCGTTGGAGTTGGTGAAGCGGGGGCGTGCTTGAACACTGATCATCTACTGTGTGTGGGTGCGTCTGAATGGTAGAGAGGGACTGTGTATGATAGAGTGGGACTGAGTATGAGAGAGAGGGTCTGTTCAGTGTGAGAGAGAGGGTCTGTTCAGTGTGAGAGAGAGTGCGCAGTGAGGGAGAGAGTGTGTAACGACAGAGAGAGTGCAGAGTGTGAAAGCGAATGTGAGAGTGAGAGACTGTGGAGTGTGAGAAAGAGAGACTGTGCGGAGTGAGAGGAAGAGACTGTGTGTGTGCGCTGTGTGAGAGAGAGTTGTGTRCGCGSGAGAAAGAGAGAGAGTGTGTTGATGKGGGGAGAGCAGAGAGAGTCAATGTGAGAAAGTGAGAGGGTGAAGGAGAGTGATTGAGAGATTTTTATTYATTTATTTATGTATTTGTATTTATTCCAYGAGCCTCGGGAGAATCAAAGGGAAGAGAAGGTATTTGCCTGGTCATCTAATTAGTGACGCGGATGATTGGATTAACGGGATTCCCGCTGTCCCTATTTACGGTCTTGCGGAAACACACCCARGAGGACGGGCTCRAKAGAACCGMTGCAGGCGGGGACAGCTCGYTGTASTGACCTCTCTGTCCAGACAATCCCGCAGCCAGCGGGGACGGTCGCCAACAGTGATTTACCAATCTGCAAATTCCGCTGTTAGCGGGAGTGCTCATTAATGCGACCAATCAAGTTCATCCCGCGGCCTGCGGGGACGGTGCTCAATAGTGATTTACCAATCTGTCATTTCCGCTGTTAGCGGGGATGCTCATCAATGTGACCAATCAAGTTGATCCCGCAGCCAGCGGGAACGGTCGCCAACAGTGATTTACCAATTTGCATATCCCGCTGTTAGCGGGGATGCTCATCCATGTGACCATTCAAGTTGACCCCGCAGCCTGCAGGGACGGTGCTCAACAGTGATTTATTAATCTGCCAATCCCGCTGGAAGCGGGAGATGCTCATCAAAGTGACCAATCAAGTTGAACCCGCGGCCTGCGGGGAAGGTCCTCAACAGTGATTTATCAATCTACCATTTCCGCTGTTAGCGGGGATGCTTATCAATGTGACCATTCAAGTTGACCCCGCAGCCTGCGGGGACGGTGCTCAACAGTGATTTATCAATCTGCCAATCCCGCTGGTAGCGGGAGATGCTCATCANGTGACCATTCAAGTTGACCCCGCAGCCTGCGGGGACGGTGCTCAACAGTGATTTATCAATCTGCCAATCCCGCTGGTAGCGGGAGATGCTCATCAGTGCGGCCAAACAAGTTGATCCCACAGCCTGCGGGGACGGTCCTCAACAGTGATTTACCAATCTGCAAATTCCGCTGTTAGCGGGGGTGCTCATTAATGCGACCAATCAAGTTGAACCCGCAGCCTGCGGGGAAGGTCCTGAACAGTGATTTACCAATCTGCAAATTCCGCTGTTAGCTGTTAGCGGGGATGCTCATCAATGTGACCAATCAAGTTGATCCCGCAGCCAGCGGGAACAATGCTCAAGAGTGATTTTCCTATCTGCCAACCCCGCTGCTAGCGGAGATGCTCATTTGTGCGGCCAAACCAGTTGATCCTGCAGCCAGCGGGAACGGAACTCTTCAATACGAACAATCAGTTGGTCCCGCAGCTAGCGGGAACTGTGCTCCCCAAAGAATCACGGGACTGACGATCCCGCTGCTGGCTGGCCAATTGTCACACTTTTGGTGATTTGGCAAACATCCCCTCTATTGGCGGGTTAATTATGCTACCTTTGCTGACTGGGCAATAGAGCCTTTCCGCTGCTGGGGGGGGAGTTGTTTCACGCTAGCTGATCTGCAAATTGAGCCCTCCCGCGTCTCGTGGGGCCCAGTTATCTACTTCCGCTGATCAGGGAATTGAACATATCTCTGCTAAAGGGACAAGTTTCTTTACTCTACCGGGCGCCATCGAGCCTTTCCACTGTCATTTCTACTATTGCAATCTTGATCGGACAGAAGAAGAGGTAAGGGGTAAGGACTTGGGGTTAAGCGTGGGACAGTACCTGCATGACACTCGTTCAGTCAAAGAGAGCGGGCTGGCGCGCTTGAGTGCGCCCTTTTTCTTTTTTTTTATTTTTTTTTTCACTGTTGTAATTTTTATCTCAGTCAACTGTCTGTGGAGATTGACCGGTTGAGCCTGTCCACAGCGGGAGGAAGAAATCGAGCTAGCGAAGGAGGCGAGAGAGAGTACCTAGGGAAACGGAGGGAATGAGTGCAGGCGATGTGTTTCCTCAGGGGGAAATAGACCAATGGAGCAGGGAAAGATGAGAGAGAGAGAACAG